AATTTCTGGTTGTCCATTCTTATCTATAGTGCAACCCTTGATGGTGTGTGGTTTCTCCTTTCCTAGGTTGGGAATACATGTGACTAATAAGTTGCTTGGATCTCATCTGCCTAAGTGTCATGTGTTGTGTGTTTGCCATCCCCATAACCCTAGGGGACAGTTCTGCTCTCACCAGTGGGGTACAAAGGGGAATGTGAAGAGGCCAAGGAAATGCTTAGCATGGGGCCATGAGAGGGTTGTGATGGAAATGTCTGTGAAGTCCAGACGTGAGGAGTGTGCAGTTTAGAGAATGGTGTGGTGGCCCCAGGTGCCTGGAGTTGAGTCATACAGAGGATTACCTGACACTAGCATTGGATGCTTTTTTGCCAAGCCCACAGTTGCATGTCTCTTTGTGTCACTGCCCTTGTGCCTGGTGGCTGGACAATCTTCAGGCCTATGAGTAGACAGTGACACCAATGACACCAGGGCCTGGTTTCTCCTCTGAGATATGGAGCTTGGAAGAAGATGGGCATGGGGTAGATGAGGATGGATTGTGGAGCTTCAGGAGTGGACTGTTTATGATGTCATCTCTCCCCACCTGGCAGGGCACTGTGACCTTTGAGGATTGGATTTCTGTTTCTCCTCAAGAGTGGAATCTCCTTGATGAGGTTCAAAGATGCTTGTACCATGATGTGATGGTGGGAAAACTGGCACTTATACTTCTCTGGGTAAAGTCTTCACACCTGCTTCTGTGCTCTGAGATGGTCTCTGCCCTTCCCTTCCTCCTCAGCAGCATATCAGGACTATAGGCTCAACTTCCTCCCCAGTTCCCTTGGTCGGTGCTTTGATTTCAGGGCTGCAGTGTGAACACTGCTCTTTTCTTGAACAACCCCAGCTTCTGTGAAGCCCATGCCTGGCTGTAGAGGATGCAGGTTGAGGGGGCTTGTAGTCACCCTAATGGGTCCCCCTTACTTCCCTCTTTCTGACAGTGGCCTTCCCATATCCAGTGCCCCATGTCTTCTAGGTACTGCTTCCCATTTATAACTAACATTTCCTCACCCTGCCTGTGCAGACACTGCTGGTACCTAGGTGCTGGCTCCTCAGTAGACCATGAGCTGTTCTTTCAGCATCCTCCCTGAAGTTCTTTTGTGATGATATTTTCCTTTTCTACAGGCTGGTATGTGCTGAACTATGCTGGCTGG